GTACTAGTCAGTTTTCAAACATTCGTAATTTGTTGTGATTTCTTTGCTCATTCTAAATGTGCGTTCAAGTTCATCTCTAACTTTGTATTTGTAGTTTGGTGTTCTGTTTTCCAAGGGGGCCTCATGAAGCCTGCCCTGCCCCTTGTGTAAATTGGCAGCTGGCCAGCCGCCTGCATAGGAGGAGCCTCAGCTCACAGGCCATTCTGAAGATGTCAGCAACACAGGGAGGATCAGTCCCTGTCTTGCCAAGACCCTGCGTGGGTTGCTGAACATTGCTGGATCTTCAGTGTTTTTGGAAACTCCTTTCAGAACAGTTAGCTCGAAAGGGCACAGATACTCTCTTGCTCGGAATGGCACCCAAAGCACTTTATTAAAGGTTATTTCAGGAACAGCAGGAGGGTCGCTGATCCCAGAAGCACACAGCATTGCACGCCTATCCAGATATGCTCCTCACTGAGAGAAAGGCATTTTGCAAAGATGCTGCTGAGGGAGAGTCCTTTGGGCCTGTGACGTAGTAGCCCCCATAGGGTTTGTGGAATGAGTTTACCCAAGCCTCTGCCTCCGTGTGCTCCCCAGGGGCGTGTGCTCCTGCGATGCTCAGTGCCCCCCTTGGTCTCCAAACACCTCTTTAATCTGAGGGTTGAATGGATTCTCCTTTCCCAGGACTTGGGGCCACTGGAGCTGCACCTTCTCCCATAAGCGATCTGCCAACATGAGCAAAGCCACCTGTGAGAGAGAACCCAAAGGAGGAGGAAAAGGGAAATTAGGACAATTCACATACCAGCAAGATTTCCTACATGCTCTCGGCTAGAGACCGCCTCTGGGGTGTCACCCTGAGTCCTGCGCCCACTTCTCTGAATAATCTCCTGGCGGTGGGATGTAGGAGTTCAGTCAGGGTGGTGGGGGAAAAAATGGACACAAACCTTTTAGAAGGTTGGAGGGTGTTGCAAAAGCCTCAGCATAGGATTTGGATGGGGACAGCCAGATTCTCTTACCCAGTGCCTGAAAGCTTGAGTTACACAACTAGGGGTGTACAGAAACTGATCTAGATAAGTCACTTTACTTAGGCCTGTGCACCTGGCCTTTAATCATCTGTTAGACTGCTCTCTCAGGAGGGTGACCATGTTAACTATCCACAAGTGTGTTGACTCAAAGCCTGTGTCATTAAATCTATACTGAATAAATGCCTGCAGTGCCAGCCTGTGAGGGCCGCGGCTGCTAACTCTTTACAGCACCCTCCTCAGTGTCTGGGAGTGGCCTGGACCCCTAGCCTGCTCTTTAACCAGATATCTATGTCTGATTGCATTTGTTCATCCGTCCCTGGGTCGGGGTCTGCAGGTCAGACCCGACAGCAGGACCCATCCCTTGGTTCTAACAGAGGAAGTGTGGCCGTGGTGAGGAGATGCTGCCTCAGTGATGGTGTCACATTGTGTGAGGCTTCACCTTGCTAGTGACTTGCTTTGGAGGCTCTCCTTTCTGGGCTGGAGCTGATGGTGACCCAGCTGCCATCCAGCCTTAAGTTGGTTCCTCAGTCCTGCAACCTCACGGCAATGAATCTGCCAACAGCCCGGGTGAGTTTGAAGGCACTTCTTCCCCAGACAGGTCTCCAGATGAGAATGCGGTCTGGATGCCACACCTTGATTTTCATTTGTGAGACCCTAAGCAGAGGACCCAACTGTGACCCACAGAAACTATGAGATCATAAGTGTGTATTGTGTTAAGCTGCTAAGTTTGTGGAATTTGTTTTTTCAGTAATAGGTTACAAATTCACTTTTTCAGAAATCCACTTCCTCATTTATCTGTGGACAGCTGGCATTTACTGCAGGCCTGAGGCTTGGGTTTTAGAGATGAGCATGGTGTGTTTCTCCTTTAAGAAAGTCCTAGTAAGGTGACCAGACATGCAAAATGACACCACCAAGCCCACGGGGAGGGCCGGGAGGAGAATGCACACACCGGAAAGGGAAGAGGTGCCACTTCTGTTGGGTGGGGGAAGGGGTGGGATTTCTCTGAAGAAGGTGGCAGCTAAGATGAATTTCCTAGGAGTTCCCCCAGATACATGATGTGGGGAAACAGTGCAATGGTAGAGGACACAGCATGTGCAAAGGCTCAGAGCTGTGGGAGGGAATGTCACGGTTGGGGAACTACAGGTGCTGGGAGTGGAGACTGGCTGGGTCCCTGACTGGGGGTGTATCTTGGCAGGCTGTGAGTGTGTAGCGTCCAGCCAAAGCACCAGAGAGGAATTTGCTTAATGCACAGCAGGCTCTACTCTGGCTCTCCCAGCCTGAGGCTTGGACTCCGGCTCTCCCCGCCTGAGGCTTGCTCTCTGGTTCTGTCATTGCATGTCAGGTTTCCCTTTATCCATGACATTAGCTGGGTCCATTCTTGGTTGTGCAGTGTCTGGCTTGTCATTAATATGCCTTTGAAGGGGACACTCTTTCTCTGCAGACAATGCCCTCATTTAGCACATAGGAGCTGGCGAGGCCTGCAGGCTCCAGAGGGCTCCAACTCAACAGTGGTTTTCAGTGCTGAGCAGGAAGAGAAATGTGATTGCTGAAGGCCTCCCAGAGGGAAGACATTGCTCAGGAGGGATGCTCCACAGGGCAGCTCGCGGTCCCCTTCCTAACAGGCAGCGTGGCCAACTCGGGTCCGGGCCCTGCCCTCTCATCTGCACATTGCATGGGTGACAGTACGTGATCCAAAGTCCTTTCTGTGTAGCTGTGTGTGAGATTTGAGTAGTTAGAAAAACTAGGACTGATCCAGTCACTGCATCAGGTCCCTGGCATTTTAATGTGTTCTGAGCCTTCTGAGGTGGATGCAAACTTCCACTTACCCTGCTGTGTAGTCTCGGTCATATCCATGCAGTGTCTCTCCTGCGGCATAACACACACATACACCACATCCCTCACAACGCCACACTACATATACATACATCTCACACGTACCCCACAAACACCACACACACCACACACCACACTTATATATATTACATACACCCCACACACCATAAACAACACACACCACACATACATACATTATACACCACACACACCACACACCACATGCATATACACCACACCCCTCACAACCTCACACCATACATACATACATCACACACACCCCACAAACACCACACACAAATACCACACACACCACGCACCACACTAACATATATTACATACACCCCACACACCACAAACATCACACACCACACATCACACTAACATATATTACATACACCCCACACACCACAAACACCACACACCACACATACATACATCACACACACCCCACAAACACCACACACAAACACCACACACACATACATCACACCCCTCACAACCTCACACCACACATATATACATCACACATACCCCACAAACACCACACATACCACACACCAACCCCTTACAACCCCACACCACACACATATACATCACACACACCCGCCACACCACACACAGAAACACCACAAACACCACATCCCTCAAAACCCCACATCACACATATATCACACATACCCTCCACACATCACACACAGAAACGCCACACACACCACACAGACACTATACACCACACACACACCGCACCCCTTACAACTCCACACCACACACACATCACACACACCCCACACACATCACACACACACCACATCACACACAACTCCACACCACACACACATCACACACAGAAACACCATACATACCAAACACACCTCACAACCCCACACCACACATACATATATCATACACACACCCCACGCACACCACACACAGAAACACCACACAGACACCACATCAGACACACATACCACACCCCACACATCACACACAGAAACACCACACCTACCAAACACACCTCGCAACCCCACACCACACATACATATATCATACACACACCCCATGCACACCACACACAGAAACACCATATCACACACACATACCACACCCCTCACAACCCCACACCACACACACACATACATCACACACACACACCCCACACAGAAAGAACACACTGCACACCACACACCATACACATCACACATAGAAACACTACATGCACATACATCATACACCTCCATCCCCCACCACACCACACACAGAAACACCCCACACACCACACACATACACACCACACAACCCCACACCACACACACATCACACACACCCCAACACACACGCTCCACACCCATACATCTCTCTCACATACACACACATCCCACACACACCCCCACATACCTCACAGATACCACCACATACACAGTCAACACATACACATATCACATACACAACCCTCACTACACACATACACCACGCATATACTACTCACACCACACACACCATACATATACAACACACCTCCACACCATACATATGTACACCTACCCCCTCAACTACACATATACCATACATACACATACACCACATGTACCACCAACACACACCCCTACACCCCCCACATCTCTCATACACACACACACCACACAGACACACACAAACACCACACATACCTCACCCCCCCACATCTCACCTCCCACACATCTCACCCCCCCACATACCTCACCCCTGCCACATCTCACCCCCCCACATACCTCACCCCACACAGACCTCACCCCCACCACATCTCACACCCCCACATACCTCACCCACCCCACATACCTCACCCCCAACACATCTCACCCCCCATATACCTCACCCACCCCACATACCTCACCCCCCCACATCTCACCCCCTGCCACATCTCACCCCCCACATACCTCACCCACCCCACATACCTCATCCCCCAACACATCTCACCCCCCCCACATACCTCACCCCTCCACATACCTCACCCCCCATATATCTCACCCCCCACATACCTCACCCCCCATATATCTCACCCTCCACGTACCTCACCCCCCACATACCTCACCCCCCACCACATCTCACCTCCCACATACCTCACCCACCCCACATACCTCACCCCCAACACATCTCACCCCCCCACATACCTCACCCCCCACATCGGCCACAGAAAGCACACAGATACAAAACACACAGAGAAACCACACACCATACACAATCCACATATACTTCTTTGCACTTAAAAGCAGGAGCACGTCAGGCCGGGCGCGGTGGCTCAAGCCTGTAATCCCAGCACTTTGGGAGGCTGAGGCGGGTGGATCACGAGGTCAAGAGATCGAGACCATCCTGGTCAACATGGTAAAACCCCGTCTCTACTAAAAATATAAAAAAAATTAGCTGGGCATGGTGGCGCGTGCCTGTAATCCCAGCCACTCGGGAGGCTGAGGCAGGAGAATTGCCTGAACCCAGGAGGCGGAGGTTGCGGTGAGCCGAGATCGCGCCATTGCACTCCAGCCTGGGTAACAAGAGCGAAACTCCGTCTCAAAAAAAAAAAAAAAAGCAGGAGCACATCAGAGGCTGCCTGCAAAGCTGGCCAGTGCTCCAGGGAGGGCCAGCTCATCTCTCACACAAAGCAGTCAGGACCTTTGAAGACACAGGCCTGGGCTTCTGGCTGTTTTCCTGCCATTTCTCAACAAAGGAAACTGCTGCCAGGTCTGTGGAAAATTACCGGCTCTTCTGTTTTGTGTTACTGGCTTTCAAGGTGACGCACCTAAGCTGTCTTTCTAACAGTTATGTGGCACAAGGCTTTTATTTCCCTATGTGTGTTAATAAGGGAGGAGACAAGGTGAGGGCAAGAAGAGGGAAATGAAAATGCAATAGCTCAGATCTGAGCATTTGGTAACTGTTTGGTTTGAAAGCAATTAGTTGACTGTCACCCTAACAGGGACTAGAATATTTCTGAGCAGGCATTGAGGAAACATCGGGTCTGAAAGGAGGCCGGCAAGCTTATCATAGAGACTTGTGATAAAGTGGTCCCCTGTAATCACTCATTCATTTGACAAATATCTACTGAACACCTACTGTGCGTTTCTTATACCACAGTCTCCTGTCATAACTCCCACAAGGCACTGCCCAGGGCAGGGCACAGCTACCCTTTCCTCTCTTTATCCAAGTCGTTTTCTTTTCTTTTTTGTGACAGGATTTTTCTCTGTCACCCAGGCTGGAGTGCAGTGGCCAGATCTTGGCTCACTGGAACCTCCGCCTCCCAGGTTCAAGTGAGTCTCTTGCCTCAGCCTCCTGAACTGATATTCTTTTGTGCTTCTCCATTCATAGTCTAAAATGTTAAAGCAAAACATGTTCATTCTAGAAAAACTGAAACCCACTTAAGCACAAAGAGAAAAACAGAATAAAAGTCATCTGTAATTAAAATAGAAGTAGCCTCTGTTAACATGGGATGTAGAACCTTTGTGATTTTGTGTGTGTCACACACACACAATATATACACACACACACACACACATACACACACATACATTTTTGAGATGGAATCTCCCTCTCTCACCCAGGCTGGAGTATAGCGGCATGATCTCAACTCACTATAACCTCCACTTCCCAGGTTCAAGCGATTCTCCCACCTCAGCCTCCCAAGCAGCTGGGATTACAGGAACCCACTACCACACCCGGCTAATTTTTGTATTTTTAGTAGAGACTGGGTTTCACCATGTTGGCCAGGCTGGTCTCAAATTCCTAACTCAGGTGATCTGCCCACCTTGGCCTCCCAAAGTGCTATGATTACAGGCATGAGCCACTGCACCTGGCCCTGATTTTATATCTGAAAACACACACACACACACACACACACACACACACACACACGATTCCTCTTGAATGTCATTTTATAATCTGCTCTTATTGAAGTCAAATTTAGAAACAGTAAAATGAACTCTCTTTGGTAAACAGTGCTATGAATTTGACAAATGCATGCAGTTGAGTCATTGCTCCTATAATCTGTCGTCTGATTGTATTTACTTTGCTGTACATTATAAACACATTTCTATGTCACTAAAGGTAGATTTTTTTTTTTTTTGAGACAAAGTCTTGCTTTGCCACCCAAGCTAGAGTGCAGTGGCACAATCTCAGCTCACTGCAACCTCCACCTTCCAGTTCAAGCGATTCTCCTACCTTCAGCCTCCGGAGTAGCTGGGACCACAGGTGCGTGCCATCAGGCCCAACTAATTTTTGTATTTTTAGTAGAGATGGGGTTATTCGGTGCATGGTATGCTATCGCATAGATGCAAGCTAATTCATTTTATCAGTGGAAACTTTTATCACATACCCTCCACCCCAGCATTTGTCCTCAGGATGAGAGGATGGAGACACCCTTCTTCTGCCAGTTCACACAACCTTGGCAGCTCAGGACGAGGTCATCGGCTGCCCTTCTAGGCAAGTGTGTGGGATAAAATCTACTCCAGAAGAGTGCTAGGGAGCGGGTGCCCTGATTAAGTGGGGTCCTCCCGCTAATAGAAATTCCTTCCCAGGTGTTTTCCTTTGTTGTTGGACACCTTTCAGGCCCCCTTTCTTGCTAAGTCGCATAGAAACCATGCAGCTCATAACCGGTAGGGCCAGAAGTGGCTTCTGAGTACATGGGTTTAGTTTCTCGTAATACAGCACGATGCTTTGTTCAACCACCTGATGATCTGGAGTCACGCTGGCCGTCCTCACATCGGCCTGCGACCACCGAGGGGACTGTGGGAGGAGAGTGGGCACAATCTGTACTGACTCCAGTGGGCCCTTGACTTGGATTCCTTGAATAAAATCTCTGATAGGAACTTGCCTCGCTGTCCCGTGACTCCGTGTTTGGCCATTAGAAAAGCTTCCTTTGTCCCTCTGGACTGGTTCCCGAGCAATCCATCCTCCACGCTGCTACAACAGCATCTTTAGAGCACAGGTTGGATCATTCTCCTGCTCGAGAATGTCCAGTGGCTCCTCGTCTCCCTCAGGACCGAGGTCAAGCCCCAGACAGAGCTTCCATGATCCGGTTCCCTAATATGCCGCAGACTCCTCCCTCTGCACTCCATGGCCGCACCGAGGGCTTTTCTTTCCTCTAATCTGCCATGCTTGCTTTCACATCCAGGCCTCGGCCCATGCAGTTGCCTCTGCTCAAAACGCTTTCTGTAACCTTCTTCCTCCCTTCACTCTACGAGTTAGCGGCCTCAGTTCTGACATCACCTCCTCTGAAAACATGTTCGAAACCCGCCCCCATCCCACCCGTAATGCCCTGTGGTGTTCTGCACTTGCACAGTGGAAGGCATTTGCTACTTTAGAGTTGATTGTCTGTTTACTCTCAGTTTCCTACTCTATACTATAATTCTAAGTGGCGGGGAATTTTCTTGTTCACTCTTGAATTCTCACTGCATTTGACACTGGGTAGCCATGCAATACATATTTTTGGATGGCACGTAGCCAATCTGGACTTTTCAGCTCAATATACACGATAAACAGGCAGGCTTTCGGCCTAGCTGTCTATTCTTGGCCACTGTATCACTGGCTACAGGCATGTGGACAAATCTTGCAGGAATAGTATAAGATTATGGCACATATTGATTTTCAGTTTTGACTGTGTTTTCAGTGACCAGATATAGGTAAACTGAGTGCAAGAAAGAGCCTCAATCTGAGACCCGAACCCCAAAGTCATTTTAAGAGCCAGGGACAGAATGGTTATTTGATAGATGGGATACATATATCCTGAGGGGTAAAGCAAAGCAGTCTTTGACCCTCTTGTTTTTAGCTCGTCCCTGACACGCTACGTGAGCGTCTTTTCACATGCCCATTCTCTACAGAACCAGAAGGGTAAGATGCTATTCTGTTCAGAGAGTGACAAGAACTACCACCTCATAACTGCTAGAAAGAAGGGACAGACAATATATAAACTCTTCTAAAACCAAAGACATCATTTTTGGGGGACAAGACCCTGATATTGAACCAGAATCTAGCCAATACTTTTCTTTGATCAACTCATTCAATTGATACACAGGAAGGTTAGCTATTCAGAGGTTATGACTCTGATTGTGTGTGTGTGTGTGTGTGTGTGTGTGTGCGTGTGGCTATTTAAATCTGTGAGTGGGCATTTAACACTTCCTTTAAAATTTGCTCAGCATTCCTGGGACACCACTTTTACTCATTTGCTGGGGAGTGGGCACCCTTCTATTCTTTTCCCTTTGGAGGTGATTCTTAGCCTGCTCATGGGCACTGGCTGAACCTAGAGTTGGAGGAAGGTGGGCTGTGTTCGCTTCATTCAGGCTCCTGAGGGGACAATCAGCCCTCTTGTGGCCTGGGTCTCAATGGCCAGCCAAGGAGCATCCCCCAGGCACACCCATCAGGTTTGTACCCTTTGGTAGCCACACAGTGCTTCCCCAACAGCTCGAGCAGAAAGGCTCCGTGATGCAGGATTCCCTGAGAGTAAATGGCCCTTCCCACCCCAGAGAGGAGCAGCTTTCAACATTTTACAAGTGGCAGAGCAACTCCCCCACTCTTTTTCTTCTTAATAAAGACATGTCATGAGTATGTCCAGGACCATGCAACAGATAAAAGTGGAGCTTCCCTGGTTGATGCCAGGATAATGGGATGGGAGTGGAGCCGGGAGGGGACAGAGTCCCACCCTCTGGCTCCCCTTGCTTTGTGAAGAGGCCAGAGGAGAGCTACCTGACAGAACTGTCCTTTGGATCCTCAGTGAGAAACAGCTCTTACTGCAGGATACCGCTAAGGACATCGTTCTCCTGTACAGCACGCTTTCTAGAAAGATCCTTAGAATAAATTTCTTGTGGGTCTCACTTCCAAAAATCCTTGTAATTTTCCTTCTTCTTTTTTTTGTTTTTTGGAGTTCTTGATTTGTTTTTTTTTTAATCCTATGGAAGCCACGGCTTAATGTCCCTTTTAGCATGGCTGCTAGGAAGCACAGAGCTGATTTCGTAAGCCCCTTCTGGCAGTTTCTCAGGACTGCCCTGCACGTATTTTATGAATTGTAGAAATTAAATCAGGAATCCAGGTATAATTTCTACTCTGTTTTCCTATTGTCCTGAATTTCACTTTGTTTTTTTTAAAATCTTCTATCTTATACACGTGTGTACATTGCCTGAAGTCCTTTCTAGAGCAAAACAGGATAAAAATAAATCCATGAATGTGTAAGGGCAACTAAAAACCAGCAAACCAATAAACAGCCTCTGCAACCACCGTGTGACTGCGCTCACCTCGTTGGGGTGGAATCCGTCCACGGGCTCGATGAGCTGCCAGGGCTGCCCGCCTCTCTTCTGCCACTCCTGTATGACTGCAGGGCACAGAACCAGAGGGTTACAGACACACTCGCACAAGCAACAGCCAATGTCCAAGGGCAAGGATGTGAGAGCTGCCCAGGCCCTCACAGGCCCAGTTGACCCAGCCACGGCTGCCCCTGAGCTGCTCTCTTGCACTGGGGGCTTTCTGAACACAAATGATCTTCCCACTGTGTGTGTGTGTGTGTGTGTGTGTGTGTGTGTGTGTGTGTGCCTTTTTCTAACTCAGGAAGAGAATACGTGACCGCGTTAGATGAATGTGGTTTGTGTAGCAGGGAGGGCAGTGGGAAAAGGTGAGCTCTAAAATATTCAACACCGATTTCAGTACATGTCATTTTTCAGTGGTGCGGTAGGACGGTATCACAGGAGGGGAAAATCCAGCATTTTGTTAACATCCCCTTTCATGGGTTGCCATTTGCAGACTCTGCCTGCGTGTGTCAAGCACTTGCCTTTCAAAATCATACAGTACGTCAGGAATATAATTACATAAAATTATCTCATCGCCACATTTAGAGGGAATATGGCTGCAGAGAAAATATTATGAGCCCCAAAGTGATGAAAAGTAATAAAACTGTCCTTCAACAGGGGTGAGACCAAGAATGTCAGGTTGCTGCAAGGCAGCAGCACAATTAACTCACTGTCATTCCATCACACAGTCAGTAAGAACTCCTCAGGGAAACTTCAGTCCCTAGGGAGCCTCCGGAGAGCTCCCAGCAAAGTCACGCCCTCACTTCTCCAGCGTCCAGCGAGGGGGGCAGGCACAGCTAACATTCCTCCTCTTGTTTACTCTTCATTCCCCAGAAAACTCAAGAACAGAGGTCTGTGCCCTCTGAATCTCCCTTTCTCATCCCAAAGGAAGGATGGAGATGTGGGGGCTTTGATTGGACAAGAGGGGCTGGGCTTCCCCAGGCTAAGTCAATACGAGGCTGCTTTTGCAATTAGTCCTAATGTCCCAGCATGCCAGCCCCACTTACTACCCAATCCCGGTTCCGTGGGGGTGGGCGGGGCGGGGGTGCTGAAGATAACGCTGCCCTTCTCAAAGCCCAGGAAAAAAAATTCTTGCTAATGGTTTGGAGTGCTACACACTGAATTGGGGTCCCTGCTAGCTGACTCTCTGGTAGAATGACCGCCCCTGAGCCACGGTTTTATATTATGCTTCTGGCTTTTACTGGAGGCTGTAAGAAGAAGCAGCTATTGGTAAGTTGCCTTTGCATTTCTTGAAAACTCAAACTGAGGACACTGTCCACTGTGTCACGTGCTGTCTGCCACACAGAGTCTCGAGGGAGAAGCAGCAGCGTGTTGGTAAATAACTTCTCTCTAAAGAAATGGTGGGCAGAGCTGCACTGATGCTTCAACAGCATCACTCTCGTCAAAGTTTATTTGTTCTGCCAAGCCAGCATGCACCTGTCAACAATTTCTTTCTTGCCCTTGGCTATAATGTCTTGTCAAGGCACAGCTTTGGAGAAGCTTGCCTGGCTCAGTCTTCAGTTTGCCTGGACTGTTTTGCCTGCTTTTTAGGCATGACCTTGGAATCCAAACTTCTGCTTGAGGTTCAATTCCCGCTGCCTCATCTTTCCCTCTGCACTTGACCCTCTGAAGCTCCCGTGCATTCCAGACTGCCTTCCTTGCTGCGATGCTGGCTTTGCTGGGTCAGGGATGCTGTCCAGCCCATCCCCTGCCATTCCCTGATGCTTCTTTTGGGCTCTTTGTTCTCCCTCTTATCCAGGAGGATGGGCCAATTTCTCCCTTTTGGGTCCTGCTTTTCTATTTTCTAACTCTGTGCGGATTCTCTGTCCAAGCTACCTCCAATCTGAACATCCAACAAATTGCCCTTAATGGAGAACCAGGCATCTGGAAAGATTTCTTCAAACGCAGAGCCAGGGTCATCACCACTGAACCCTCTCAGTTCTCTTTGTCCTTTTACAATCTTTGTCTCGTCTCTCCTTGCAGTCCCACAGGAGTCTCTCAAAAATCGGCAACGATGCAGAAAGGCCCAGGCCAGGTGTGATGTCAGCCTCCCAGTGACCTCATCTCTATCCTCCTTGTGCTCCTTTTTGCTTCACCAAAGTTCTTGATGAACATTTTGTCCCTTTTCCCTTTATTTCTAGTTGGGTTTCACCTTATGCTGTAAAGATGCTAACAGAAGAAAGAAAAGGAAGAATGAAAGAATGAAAGAAAATCCCAACAGGGTGTTGCCAGGACTGAATGCTTGTGTCCCTTCCAAATTCCCAGGACTGAATGCTTGTGTCCCTTCCAAATTCCCAGGACTGAATGCTTGTGTCCCTTCCAAATTCCCATGTTGAAATACTAATCCAGAGTCTGACGGCATTAGGAGGTGGGGGCCTTTGGGAAGTAGTTATGCTATGAGGATGGAGCCCTCATCATGGGATTCATGCCCTTATAAAATGGACCCCAGCTGGGCGTAGTGGCTCATGCTTGTAATCCCAGCACTTTGGGAGGCCGATATGGGTGGATCACGAGGTCAGGTGTTCGAGACCAGCTTGGCCAACATAGTAAAACCCCGTCGCTACTAAGAAAAAAAAATTAGCCAGATGTGGTGGCAGGTGCCAGTAATCCCAGCTGCTTGGGAGGCTGAGGTAGGAGAATCTCTTGAACCTGGGTGGCAGAGGTTGCAGTGAGCCACGATAACGCCACTGCACACCAGCCCGGTTGACAGTACAAGGCTCTGTCGAAACAAAAATGAAAACAAAAACCCAGAGGGCTCTCTCACTCTTTATTTATTTATTTGTTTAACCATATGAGGATGCAATGAGAAGTCAGCAGTCAGCAAAACAGAAGGGGACCCTCACCAGACCCTAACCACGCTGGCATCCTGATTTCAAACTTTCAGCCTCCAGAACTGTGAGAAATACATTTTTGTTGTTTATAAGCCACCCAGGTTATGGTATTTTATTACGGCATTCTGAGATGAGACGGATATTAAAAAATTCCCAGGCATGCTAATAAGAGCAGGTCAATGGGAATTGAGCCCAGTCAAGACCTCATACAGAGCCTGCTAAAAAGTTAGGAAGAGCTGGATGAATAAGGCATGAGGCAGAGTCCTCTTGAAGTAAGCAGATGCACAGCAAGCCATGGGCCTGACCTAGAGTACCCTGGTGTCACCCGATGCAGTAGGGGTAGGAAGCCTCTTCAATACTTTTTGACTCTCAAAGACACGTTGAATCAAACCCATGCCTGCGATGGGTAAGAAAACATCTAGAAAAGGGTTATGGTGATCCAGAGCTCTGAAAAACCTAAAGTAGAAAGCAAATTTGAAGCTGTTAAGGAAGCAGTTTAAACAAGATCGTGTTCCTTGAGAAGAATGTTTATGAGGAACCTGATAGTACCAAGGTGAGATTTGCTGATCCGTGAGTTTCTTAGACTGTGGTTCAATTTTGGCATCTAGGCGTAAAGTAATTTTAGGCTATTTTCATTTTGATTCGCATTTTATGTGTGTTACTAATTACCAAACTAAAAACTATGGTCCTTAGAGAAAGAAAGGGAGGTGTTGATAGATGTCTTCATGGAACAAGATAATTAATTCAATTATCAGAGATAGTGACTCGAGTTGAGCATCTTGCATCCAAAAAGCCAAAATCCAAAATGCTCTAAAATTAACAACTTTTTGAGTGCCAACATGATGTTCAAAGGAAATGCCCACTGGAAAATTTTGGATTTTGTACACAGGACGCTGAACTGGTAAGTATATGTAATGCGTATATTCCAAATTTGAAAACATCCCCCCAAATCCAGAATCTGAAACATTTCTGGTCCCAAGCATTCAGGATAAGGATATTCAACCTATACTGTGTTTTCAAAATGCGAAGAGATGGCCATTCCCTTTTCCTTCCCTTGGAGACTTGAGCAATTCCATAATTGTGGGAATTATGGAAGGAAATCTCAGGAGCAAAAACACAAAGAAAGAGAAGGGATATTTACTTGCCAAGATTTGCAGGGGAACAGGAGCACACCTAGGTTTGGGGGAGTGGGAGAGGTCCACCTTTTATCATCACCATAGTCCAGCAATTCTAAATGATGTCATTGATAACACATTCCTCCCTGCTAAGAAATTATTCCTATCTCCCGGCCCCCATCCCTTCTCTACATTAGGTGACAACTACGGGGGAGTCCAGCCTTTGGAAGGACTTGCTTCCTATATAACATAATCCAATAGGTGTTAAAAGAAAATTCTCCAAGTTTACTAAGGCTACAATCTGTCTATTTACAGAGGCAAACATCATTTCCCCCCCGCAGGATCGTTATGTCTGTGACGGCTATGGGCCATCACATATATGTGGCCATCAGGACAGTAAAACTTAGGGGAGCCTTGGTAACTCACAGGCAAGTGTTTAGAATTTTATCTGTATCACGACCAACGTCAAAGGCAAGATCCTTTGTTTGTTTATCTCAGGATGAAATTCTGCTTTCTCGGGAGAAATGCAATACCAGACGCTGGTCTTTACTTTTTCCTTAGTTGATTTTAAAGTGGGAGGTCCAATCAGAGATAACATGGTAAGTTGGTCAGTTTCCTTTCTACGTAGGACCATAACTTAAAACAGAGCAATGAGTTCCTATTTGTTCTTCAGAAGATCTGGATTAAGTTTCTTGAGTGATCCTGGATGATCTGTGGAGATTTGGAGCGTAATGTATTTTGTTTTGTTTTCTTCTTCTTAATGTATTTTCTTTATTTGTAAAGTTGAAGAAACTGCTGATGACCAGCTTTTCAAAGATGCAATAGAGAGAGTGGAGGAAGACTCATAAAACACTTGGCAGCTCTTGGGTGAAAAGCAACACTAGCAGGTATTTTAAAGAAAAGGCTGCATTCTGGTCAGCACCATAGTCATTGGCTGCTTTTACAGATGTATTCATGGTGGCGGGAACCAAGAGCCAGGTTTCCTCCAATTGAGCTGTCTGGGAAGCTGAGGGCAGCTGGAGATATATTTAAACTGTAGGTGTTAGCCAAGTGGCATTTTCTTTCCTCTGTTGGGCATGTGTGGTGCAGGCAAAGAGAAAGAACATCACCTGCTCAAGTTGGCATTTCCTGAAGGGAGGAAAAGTTGCTGCCTCTGTTTAGTTCATAGCCAGTTGGAGAATGAGTCAGCAAGAGATAAAAGAGTCTTTGGAGATGAGCAATCATCTTTCAGGGCTGGACTGAGGCTGTCAGGGCAGAAAATGAATAGGTCTCGCGTCTACCCTCAAGTGACAGGGACCCTCGAATGCAATTTGCTCTGTCACAGGATGTGAAGTTGTGAATTTTTGTATCATGAAAAATGAGACTATTTTTGACACGATAGTCAGCTCACCTAAAGCACCAAGATGAGAGAAGAGATTTTCATGGGACTATCAGGACTGCAGACTTAATAAGCGACTCTGTAGGGTTTTAATTTCTGATAGAAAATTACATTTCTTCTTGGTAATGAGATGCATTTCTGCCATACCTTCCTCGAAGGAACTCAGAGTACTTCACAGGCATGAATGGAGCTGGGGGATGGGCTGGGCCTCAGAAATGAAGGAGTTGCTGCACACACGCTGATGAGGGTGGCAGTGGGGATGGCTGCTAACAGTTACTGAGCCCTTACAACTGAACACGTTTTCTTTTAGTTAATCCTTACATGGGTTAGTTATTTCTATCCTACATACAAGGAAACCAAGGCTGGGTGGTTATTTAATTCCTCCTCCGTGTCTGAGCTGGAACACAGTTGTAAATTCTGTGCTCTTTCTATAACCACACACCGTACCCACATGAGGTGGGTTTCTGGGGAGATGAGCTTCCCAGGCACAGGAGGTGACACACGGAGATGGGTCTGGGGTGGGATTATCCCTCCACCTGCTTTGGAAATGCTAAAATCTTCAGTTAAAAATGTGTTTTGCAGTACCTAACTCTGAGCTTAAGTTGAGACATTACCACAGTTACTGAAAACCAGATAGAAATGCTAGCTCTTTCGGGGGTGGGCATGGTGGCACCGAGGCATCAAATACAGGTGCTGTATCAGATGTTCATGGAGGCAGGTCCCACAGTGCTCCCACGGTGCCCACATGCCTTCGTTAGTGGGGTGCCCACTAACTTCCTGAGAAGATGAAGGAGGCCCTGCACCAAAACTGGATCTTCACATTTCTTCTAAACAAATGGCAGGAGATGACAAAGCGGGAAGTTCCTTGAAGTGTTGATGGGAGTCACTAAGAACGGAGAAGTGACTGTGAGCTTCCTGCCATGTTGATGTGGACTGTTCGGTTCAGCTTAACTCAACTTCGTGCTTTTTCACTGCATTTATTATTGCTGTGAGGACAGGAACGGGCAGATGCGGCCCTGCTTCCAAGCACGGCAGTTCCCCAGTGGAATTCTGGCCAGTCAAGAATAAAGCTCTTCTCTCTGTCTCCTTCATGGAGATAAGGACTCTTCTGTTTTGTTGACAATTATGTTCCCGGCACCTTTATAGCTCCTGGCACACAGCAGGACTTACAAATCTGATGAGTGATCCAGCTCTTGGTCTTAAAGCATTATAGAACTCTGTTTATTTGAATTGATTTTTATTTTTATAGAGATGAGGTCTCTGTCAGCCAGGCTGGAGTTCAGGGATGTGATCACAGCTCACTGCAGCCTCGACCTCCCAGGCTCAAGTGATCCCCCGCTCACTGCAGCCTCGACCTCCCAGGCTCAAGTGATCCCCCGCTCACTGCAGCCTTGACCTCCCAGGCTCAAGTGATCCCCCGCTCACTTCAGCCTCTAGAGTAGCTGGGACTACAAGCATGCACCAAGATGCCTGGCTAATTAAAAGAAAAAATTGTAGAGATGGGTTTTCACTCTTGTTGCCCAGGCTGGAGTGCAATGGTGCAATCTTGGCTCACTGCAAACTCCGCCTCCCAGGTTCAAGCTATTCTCCTACCTCAGCCTCTCGAGTAGCTGGGATTACAGGAATGTGCCACCACACCAGGCTAATTTTTGTATTTTAGTACAGACAGGGTTTCATCATGTTGGCCAGGTTGGTCTCCAACTCCTGACCTTGTGATCTGCCTGCCTCAGTCTCCCAAAGTGCTGGGATTACAGGCATGAGCCACCACGCCCTGCCATAGAGAGGGGAGGTCTTGCAATGTTGCCCAGGCTGGTCTTGAACTCTTGGATTTGAGCGATCCTCCCGCTTCAGCCTCACAAACCATTTATTAAACTTTAATGGGCAGAGAAATGACCTGTGGATTGTGTTTGAATGCAGATTCTGATTAGGTAGGTCTGGAGGGGGGCCTGGAATTCTGCATTTATAACCAGCTCCTGGGCAGTGTTGATTCTGCTTATCCACAAGCATTCAGTGAGTAAGGAAATGGTACCTTTTTTGTGTACCAGGCATAACATTTAGGAGGATGGCACATTATTTCATAGGATCATCACAAAGATTTGTTAGGAAGATATGGTATCCCCATTTCCAGGACTGGAAAGGGAATTTAGAAATATTCAGAGAATTGCCTGTAGTCCCAGAGATAATAAATGACAGAGCTAGAGATCACACTGGAAAATAAAAAAAGCCCCATGTGAGTGTTAGACATTATTATATTTTTAATAACTTTATCTATATTCAAGGTTGATGATGATCAAAGATCACTTGGTGGTGCATTTGTTTACACCAGGAATTCATTAATGAGTCTTTACCTCTGCATTGTAATGAGAGGTTATTTATCAAAATGTCTCTCCCCATGAGGGAAATGTGTATCACCTAGGCAGGAAATCTAGTTAAGGGAGATCAGTCTTGTTGAAAGGATGTTTGGAATTGAACTACTAGAGTCTGCAAGGCAAAACCTGTCAGCGAATGTAATATCTGATAATTCACGACGGCCATCTGCTCCAACCCAGATGCTGGGGATGGGGCATTGGGAGTGTCGGACAGAGATGATAAAGTCTGGATGAGGAATCTTCCATCTTTCACCTATACCATGAAACTCTTCATTAGCATTATCTCATCTGGCAGTCAACGGGGGCTTTGCTCCGGTATAAAAATTGCTTAGCAATGAAAATGAATCAGGAAGGATTACATTCAATCAGCAATAATTTTTCAGACTCAAGATGTAAAGGGTGAATCAGTAGCCATAGTCATCATGTCTGTTTTTGTGTGGCCACTTAGCAGTGACGCCAGTGTGTGGACAGAATCCTAAAAAGGAAACTTAGTCATGTTCTTTCCAGAAAGCTGGGACATGGGTTGATCGCTTTGCCACAGGCAAGTTCTTCGGTCCCTCCCTTAGAGGTTCTGATTAGGTTGGTCATGTATGGGGCCTGGGAATCTGCACTGCTCCTGAGTCTCTGGGTAATCCAGAGCCCACTGTGAGAGGTGCCAGCCTATCTGTTGTTTCTGTCACGTCCATCTGTGGCCCACAGGTAACCAGGGCATTTAACCTGGCAAGAACACGTTAGTGAGTGAATGAACCTGTAGGTTGACAGCCCAAAGCTCTTTCTAACCAGTCACTGGCTCTGTTGCCTCAGAGACTGTAAAATGATGGTGAAGTGCAGAGGTGATGCTGAGCCCAACCTTCTCAGAAAGAGTCCCACACTTCATCTTTTTTCAATACCGAGGGCTATTAATGTATCAGAATAGGCAGGAGTAACCCTGCCCAATCTGCTGCCTGCTGGCTTATAAAACCAGTTGCCCAGGCCCTAAACGAGCTGCTGCTTTCAACTTCTGCCAATACCCAAAAAAGCCACTTACTTTCATGGAAGGCAAACTCCATGTAGAAAAGATTGAAGTTTGTAAATTTCTCTTTGGCTGCAATTTTTTTCAGTGTGTTGGAGAGTTGCTCTGCTCTCTGAAGACAAAGGAAACGGAGAATTCCGTGAAATCTAGACTTTAGTGAGATAATTCAGGCAGAACAAAGAAATCGATCTTCCACATCCTACCCCACTTTCATTTCTCCAAGCCATCAACAGACCACAGCTCTGCACAATAGAGTTGACTCTAATCACGTACAAACGGCCACTGAACATGTGACAGATGTTAACGTTCATTGGAATGGAATCAGTGTAAATTAGTGATACTAGTTTTTCCACCCCTGGGATTGGCAAAGGTAGGATAACCGTAATGTTGAATGTTGTCATGGGCAGGTGAATGAGAATGTCATTAACTTAACCTGTCTAAAGAGCAATTTGGCAGTATGGATCAGACCCTTAAACACAGACACACTCTTTGGGCCAGTAAGTTTTCTAGGAATTTGTCTTGAGGAAGTAGAGATGTTCACAGAGACATACATCTTTAGATACACAACTGCTCATCACAGTGCTATTTATCATAGTATAAATTTGGAAACCATCTAAATGTCCACCACCAAAGGATGAAATAAATCATAATGTATTCACATATATGAACTATCGAATGGTTACAACATCATGATGTGGAGAAATAATCTATGAACACTGGAAAGCCTGAAAGAGTATGTGCATTCTCATACTATGTAGGCAGAAACCAAATATATGATCTCTGGAAGTGGTAACGGAAAGACATACACATATACTGAATTTGGGTGGTGGAATTTGGGGTGATTTTTGTTATTGTTCTTTATGCTTTTTCTGTGTTCTTGAAGTTCTAAAAAATTAAAATATGCTTTTTATGTAAAAAATATTCAATGAGAAAAAAAAATTCAATGAGTCTTTTTTTTTTTTTTTTGAGACAGGGTTTCCCTCTGTTGCCCAGGCTAGAGTGCAGTGGCATGATCTCGGCTCACTGCAACCTCTGCCTCCAGGTTCAAGTGCTTCTCATGCCTCAGCCTCCCGAGCAGCTGGGACTACAGGTGCCCGCCATGACACCCAGCTAATTTTTGTATTTTTAGTAGAGCAGGACATTTAGATTAATTTTTGTATCTTTATTTTGTATTTCAGTTTTATCATGTTGGTCAGGCTGGTCTTGAACTCCTGATCTCAAGTGATCTGCCCACCTCTGCCTCCCAAAGTGCTGGGATTACAGGTGTGAGTCACCACGCCCAGCCACAATAAGTCTTTTACAAAGACATTCGTCACCATCTGTGAAAGAAATGTAAACCATGGTCTTTGAACAATGGATTCTCTGAGAGAAGAGAGGAAGGTTCTTATTTGCCTCGGGAGAACTTCCGTCATGCATAGGGGCCAACCGCAACCAGTTCTCCCCACCTCCACAACTATACCTAGGACCAGCTTTAAAACGTGTGTGTGTGTGTGTGTGTGTGTGGAAGAATGTGTGTATACACATGCACACATTAGAGAGACAGTGGCTGAGAAACACAGTCAGAGGACAGACCCAGAGCGAGGCAGAGGGAGACAGGGTACACCAGGTTCTCTCCGCTCCCCAAGCACCCAGGAGGTTTTGGAGGCCATTCCCCTGCTAGGATCCCATCCCCAGTGGAAACTCGGCAGCAAACACAGGGAAAGAATGATCAAAGATGGTATCAAAAGGTCTGTGACAGTCGTACCTCTGAAGTGAGAGTCCTCAACGTCTTGTTGGAAGACATCCAGCCGTGGCAGGGGCTGACCTGAGAGCAGGAAAACACTTTGATTACAGAGGAACGGGACGGGCAAGCGGCTTGAAGCAAGTCAGTGAGTGCTCACCTGGAGGCAGTTCAGGAAGGAGTACAGCTGCGCATAGGTCACGTCTTTATTTAGCTGGCCTGGAAAACAGAGAGGTATGGTAGGTTGAATGCACTCGGCAATAGCAGCATTTAGAGACACCTGGGGGCTTCCCTGCCTCTCTTGTAGAAGGTCACATTTCCAGAGGGTTGCCCTGATTTTTCATGCAACATTGCTCTTCAAGAATGCCTGTGCTTTCCTCTTTTCTGAGCCTCTAGAAATTCAGACTCAGACTTGGGGTCTGCATTCCTGAGGAGTTCAATTCCATGTAGAGCTCTGAGCATGGGCTAGGATGGGGCTGGGGCAGCTGGCCTCATCTGGACTCAGGAAAAAGAAATGCAAGTATCCTACAGCCCAATGTGAACCAGGATGCCTTAGAGCAAAGCCCTTTAAGAATAGCACGTTCTCCCGGCCCTGGTATGAAATGCTCCCTACATGGGGCGTGGGGAACATTCGAGGTGGCAGTTGACCTAATCCCCTTTTCTAGGTTTAGGAAATGCTCAGGCCTGACCGAATTATCCCATGCTGAGGGCCTGGCAGGACATTCTGAGTAACTGAAGCTCTGATCACATAGTTCCCTGCAGTTTGGTGAACTGGAAGCCTTCAAAAATGCTTGGGTGGCCCACGGGATGGGGAAGGTGGTACCTCATGTCTCCCTTCAGGGCACCGGAGTAAGAGCATGCAGTGGATGCCTTATTTGGCCCTAATTAGTAGATAGCCCGACCCTTATTTTTTAGTGCAGCTTACAGAGTTACATAATAAAAGGTTCATCTGGTTCATGAACCAGATGAGGGTTCATCCAGTTTTTCTAAACCTCAGCTCCAGTCCCAGAATCTGTGGAGGTGATTTCTCCTCTCTTCCCAACGCTGCCCCACCCGCCTGCAGCATATCCACCCCCGCTTAGCAATTTGGCTTTCATGCTGTGGCTCACACACAAAAGCCAGGTCTCCCCAGTCTCAGGGGTGAATGACTGACACTGTATCCATTAACACTCCCCACACTCTCGAAAACATAAAGGAAGATAATAGTATCTATATCATAACGAAGAGAAAGATTGAAGGTGACAGAGCACAGTCTTATTTTTCACTTATACCTCTGATTAGTTAGACTGGAAGATAGATTCAATTTTCTTGTCATAGAGAAAAAATTTATTATGTCTCTGTGAGGGTGAGTGAGTCCCAGGACGGGAAAGCCGCAGGCTCATTACGGCCACTAAGGTCGCAGTGACCCGCCAGGTCTGTCTTCTGCACGGGCTTCTGTATCTTCGCATTTTAGATGAATTCCAAGTCCTTGGCTTTTGTCCTTGCTTTCATTTTATAGGCCCGACACTGAGGTCCGCTTTTCCCCCAAATTCCTACTTCTACCCACTGAGGCTTTGTTCCTTCTGTGTGTGGTGTGTGTGTGTGTGTGGTGTGTCTGTGTTTTGTCATTTCCCCCCTTCCTGAATGTGTCCCAGTTGCAGTGACTGACACCTTCCTTCACTACCCACCCTGGGCCCTCCGCATGCTCTCCTGGCATGGCTCTTTCCCCCTGGGGGCTGCCGCTGAGCCCCAGCTTTCCCTCTCCTCACCCTCTGTGAGGGCCCAGTGCCTCTGAATGCTTCTGCCTCGGTGCCTGGCACCATCTTGTCTCTATGTTGGAAATGGGGCCTCATAGTGAAACTTAGGTAGCCTGGCTGGGGTCCTGCCACCCTTCTGGGCCTTGGTGTGTCCCTCCCCCTGAGGGGTAGCATCTCTCTGCAGCCAGACAGGAGGTGGCACCTCATGCCTGAGCGTTCACTCTCCCCTCCCCATCTTCAGGCCTGGATTGCTTTGATATCCAGAGGGGCCAGAGTTTGTCCTGCTCCTGTGACACTGGGAACTTCATTGCCGGATCCTCCTTGGAATGAAGGCCCGCCTCAGCCTTGTCCACCCTGCCCGAGGCCCTCTCCTGCTGTCTTACTGCTGACGGCCAGCACAGGCCCTAAGGGGTACCCTCCTTCCACACCTCCTCCAGTCCCTCTCCCTTCCCCTCCATCTCCTGGCTCCACCTCCAACTGGACCTTGTGGAGAAAGGGAACGTCCTTACTGTGGGGAGCTAGCTCTGCTGAACAGGATGAGGGCACATTAGGTGCATTTAGAAGGACCTGGGAAAGTTGTAACGAGTCAGTGTCCCTGCTCTCTGGTGTCTCTGCCTGTTAGAGGATAGGGACTCTGAAGCTGGACACGTGAAAGCCTGGCTACGGGTACTTGCGATGGGCTTATGGCTTCAAGGAAGGGAAGAGGGAAATGGCTCTTAGGCTTTCTCCTTTGTTGGTACGATCGGCTGGTCCCCAGTCTTTCTTTTTAGGCGTTACCTTTTCTCTTTGTTGCTTTAATGTAATTTTTGCCTATTGATCCTGCCTCTATGGGGATCCTGCAGAGAGACTGTATCTGTGACTCCCTGGTCAGAAAGTCCATCTGGATAGAAAAGCTGATCAAGAAAGCCCAGGGGCAGGCCAGGAGGACTGTCCCACAGTGGCCAGGACTCACCAGGGGCCGAGGAGCTCTATCTGTGTGTCTTTGTGTGTGTCTGCATGTCTGTGTCTCTGCGTGTCTTTGTGTGTGTCTGCATGTCTGTGTCTCTGTGTGTCTTTGTGTGTGTCTGCATGTCTGTGTCTCTGCGTGTCTTTGTGTGTGTCTGCATGTCTGTGTCTCTGTGTGTCTTTGTGTGTGTCTGCATGTCTGTGTGTCTTTGTGTGTGTCTGCATGTCTGTGTCTCTGTGTGTCTTTGTGTGTGTCTGCATGTCTGTGTCTCTGTGTGTCTTTGTGTGTGTCTGTATGTTTCTGTGTCTGTCTCTATGTGTGTGTATGTGTCGGTATGTGTGTGTCTATGGGGGTGTGTGTGTGTCTCTGTGTGTATGTGTGTGTGTCTGTGTGGGTGTGTATCTGTGTGTGTGGGTGTGTATCTGTGTCTCTGTGTGTATGTGTCTGTGTGGGTGTCTGTGTCTCTGTGTGGGTGTGTTTTGTGTGTCTGTGTGCCTGTGTGTGTGTTGTGGGGAACCAATGGACTGGCCCAGTGTTTGCCACAAACTCCTCTGAAGACCAAAGGCATGTTCTTGCCCAGCTGGCTAAGTGACGGTTTGTGTCTTCGTAATCTGTCATTTCTTTAGAGCAGGGTCTCTCATATCTATTTAATTCTGGAAACGTAATTGAAACCTTAGGTACCATAGAAACTTAGTTCCAACAAAGATCAGTCATACCTCCATGAAATGCAACGTAAATGTATTGAAACCACATTCATTCAGAGAGATAGAAACACCAAAGTATTTTAAAAAGACATTTGAGGCCGGGCGCGGTGGCTCAAGCCTGTAATCCCAGCACTTTGGGAGGCCGAGGTGGGTGGATCACGAGGTCAAGAGATCGAGACCATCCTGGTCAACATGGTGAAACCCCGTCTTAGTGAAAATACAGAAATTAGCTGGGCACGGTGGCGCGTGCCTGTAATCCCAGCTACTCAGGAGGCTGAGGCAGGAGAATTGCCTGAACCCAGGGGGTGGAGGTTGCGGTGAGCCGAGATCGCACCATTGCACTCCAGCCTGGGTAACAAGAGCGAAACTCCTTCTCAAAAAAAAAAAAAAGACATTTGGTTTCAGGTTTGAGAGTAATTGGAGTAAGATTTGCAGCGAAGCCCCTGGAGGCGGGCCCGCCAGCAGACGAATTTGCAGCCAGCAGTCCGTGGCTTCCTCCCCAGAGTCTAACCCTTGGGATGGCCCTGGAAGGCCTGTGACTTGCGCATCCTCAGGGGCGCTCGGCACATTCACCGCCAGGGCCCACAGAGTCCGTGTGCTGCGCTCTCCAGTGCAGCTGTCTTCTCTCTCATGTGGGTACACAGACTGCATCTTCTGCCACCTTTACTTAAAAGCACAGAACAGGAGCCTCGGATGAATTTCTGGAATGGTCGCCTTCCTCACAGAGCATGGCTGACAGGGCTTGGAACAGGCCAAGGCTGACTTTTCTTAAAAGACCTGCGTCAGTAGAACCCCAGTGTCTGAGGCTCGCTGCCTGGTAGTTCCTCATAAAGACAATAAACGCTCACCAGGAATTTGAGTGACTGGAGGCTGTGGGGTGCTTCGGTGGCCAGCGACGGGTTGGGTAGTGAGTCACAAACCCAGCTGAGAGGAGGGAGGCTGGGAGGGGCTCGTCACCCCTCCTCCCTGGCAGGAGTGACACAGGCAGCTGCTCTTGTTCTGGGCCTCCGTGACCTGCTGAGCGGGTGCTGTGGCATCTAACTGTGCCTTCCCTGGTTGCTCAGGCTGAGTTCTTGCCTGTCCTGAGGGGAAAGGAGGCAGCAGAGACTGTGTCACACCGACCAGGGGCTCCCGCAACTCTTCTGTTCCCTGGACTCTTTCCTAATCCTCAGGAAGTGGCCGAAGTCAAGTCTAGACTATTATCACCACATTTCTAGGCTCAAATCAATGGAACTCACCCCCTTCTTCCTGCTTTTGTAAATTTGCACAACGTCCTTCACACAGCCCTTACTATGGTGGCCAGGAATCAGACTCGAGTGTCCAGCTGCTGACTAAGACGAGATCTGTGACGGCCTAAACAGAGCAACCCAGTGCCGAGGCCAGTCCAGCACCAACCCTGCTTCACTGCCGGCGCCATATCCAAAGATGGGGTTTGCAGTAAGAGCAGAAGAGAGACAGCGTGAGGGCAAGAAATGAAATCATTGTGGGCAACGAAAGCATCCATCTCACAGGGTTATTCTCAGAATCATACCTTCCTGGCCGGGCTCGGTGGCTCATGCCTGTAATCCCAGAACTCTGGGAGGTCAAGGCAGGTGGATCACCTGAGGTCAGGAGTTCGAGACCAGCCTGGCCAACATGGTGAAACCCTGCCTCTACTAAAAATATAAAAATTAGTCTGGTGTCATGGCAGGTGCCTGTAATCGCAGCTACTCAGGAAGCTGAGGCAGGAGAATTGCTTTAACCTGGGAGGCAGAGGTTTCAGTGAGCAATGATTGTGTCATTGTACTCCAGCCTGGATGAGAATGAGACTTCATCTCAAAAAAAAAAAAAAAAAAGAAAGAAATAACGCCTTCCTAATGTGGCCTCTTTTGAGGTCTGTCATGTTGTGTGTTATGAGACCTGCCACAGGAGGCCTGGGGATGCTGGACAAATCCCACCTACCTCCCCAGACTTCCTAGGAAGGACCCTGATGCTTTGCTGAGAAATGTTTAATTTATTTCCCATGGCAACCAGGCAGCAGAGATAATTTAGGATCTGAATAATCACTTAAAAGCATCAAACACATTTTAGATGGTTTCAGCTTTCTCCATGATTGGAGTTTTTTTAGCTACTGATGTTTCTGTAGAATGAACTTGTTCTATCTTTTTCTTCTTCCCATTTCGTGCTGTGACATGCTAGGTTGTGATGAGCAGCCAGACAGAGTCAACTTGAGGAGGACAAGGCAAAGTTTGGAGCAGTCTTTCAGCCCTGCACGACCGACAGTCTTGATTGTGGGTGCTGTCTTGTGTCTTACAGATGTTTAGCAAAACCCCTGGCCTCTACTCGCTAGATGCTAGTTGCACCCCTCTTCTTCTTGATTTTTTTTTTTTTTTTTTGAGACCGAGTTTCACTCTTGTTTCCCAGGCTGGAGTACAGTGGTGTGATCTCAGCTCACTGTAACCTCCGTCTCCCGGGTTCAAGCAATTCTCTTGCCTCAGCCTCCAGAGTAGCTGCGATTACAGGTGCGTGCCACCATGCCCGGCTTTTTTTTTTTTTTTTTGTACTTTTAGTAGAAACAGGGTTTCACCGTGTTAGCCAGGCTGGTCTCGAGCCCCTGACTTCAGGTGATCCACCCACCTTGGCCTCCCAAAGTGCTGGGGTTACAGGCATGAGCCACTGCGCTTACTCTAGCTGTGACCCTCTTCTGTCTCCAGATATGGTAAAAGTGGGGTGGAGGTGAGTGGGTTGCCCCCAGTTGAGAACCACTGGCCTAGAGAATCCACAGAAGTGGACTAATCCCCCAATCATCCTTTTTCTTTTTTCAGTCCTTTCCAAATTGCATGGAGTCATTCTCACATACCATTCTTACATTCTTTTTTTTTTTTTTAAGACAGAGGTTTTTTTTTGTTTGTTTGTTTGTTTTTTGCTCTTGTCGCCCAGGCTGGAGTGCAATGGTGCAATCTCGGCTCACTGCAACCTCCGCCTCCTCAAGCAATTCTCCTGCCTCAGTCTCCCAAGTAGCTGGGATCACAGGTGTGCAACACCACACCTGACTAATTTTTGTATTTTTAGTAGAGGTGAGGTTTCACTATGTTGGTCAGGGTGGTCTCGAACTCTTGACCTCAGGTGATCCACCCGCCTCGGCCTCCCAAAGTGCTGAGATGATAGGTGTGAGCCACCGTGTCGGGCCTCATTCTTACAGTCTTATGTTTTTCCTTCTCTTAGTCCTTTCCAAATTGTATGGAGTCATTCTTACATTTGGTCTCACATTTATGAAACCAAACATATCTCACAAATCAAGTGAACTGTGTGGCGTATTGGAAAGAATTTATGGTGGTGGCATTACCAGATTTCATGGAAAGAAAGTGGGATTTGAAAGCAGAAAAATGGAAGTCAAGTCGCTATAATTGTGATGGAGTCAACTGGGAACAAACTTGCCTGCCCTCAGCTTCTCCTTCCTCAGCTTCTCTTTCCTAAGCATTTCTTAGTGTGGGACAGACATTTAGAAATCTGAAAGAATCCGTTGAGGGCAGATGTACAATTTTCATATCCTGCAGTTCAAAGAGAAATTCTTAGCCCAGGCTGTTGTCCTTTATGCATGCAAAGTAGCCCAGAATGGAGTGAAGTTCTATGTGCGAGCACGTGATTTCTAAGGGGGCGTGGTCAAGGTTGCACCAACTATGCTCTACTTAGGTGGGGCTGGACGGTGTTTTGCTTGGACAATAGTATTTGTGACACACCAGTAACTCAAGAGGAACGTGGCTTCATCCTTATTGGTGGAGAATCTGGAATGTGTGTGTCCACCATTGTCCCTCCAACTAAGAGATCAGGGCTCTTTGAGAGCTGGTTAAAGGACCCTTACTTTTCTCCCAGGTGGGGAGAGGTGGAATTTCCTGAGGGAGAAGTAGGGAGGTTGTCTTAGAGAAGGACTGCAGGAAGAGGACAACAGAAGATTGAAAAGATACATGCAAAGTTGTATATGCAAGAAAAGGCGCTTGATGGCCTGAAATGTGAATCTTGCTCCCCACCCCCACACCCTAAGGAGGGCATGAAGGAATGAGTTCCAGGTCTTATTTGAATGTCTCACCAGATTCCTAAGAAGGTGCTTTTTAGTGGGTTGGGCTCAGAAGGTGAGTGAGGTAACACACACCAGGGAAGGGATAGCCCTTTCTTCACGATAGTTTGGTGCAGGTGCTGTCAATATGGGGCTGAGAGGAGGGTACCCAGGCCTCTTCTTATAGAAGCTCATCAGGGACGACTGAGGCCAGCTCCCTGTTCCTCTTCCTTGCTCAATGTTCTTCCTGTGGCACTTATCACCCTCTGACATACTTTTGAGTCATTCTCCCACTGTAATATGATCTTTCTGTGGGCAGGAACTGAACACTGTTGTGTTTGCTGCTGGCTACCCTGTGCCTAGAACAGTGTCTGGCACATAGTAGGCACTTAACAAATACATTCTCCCCTGAAAAACAGAAGGCAGAGTCCTGCTACAACCAGCTTACAGATTCAGCGAGCTCTGTGGCATTTGGCAAGCTACCTGGCCTCTCTGAGCCTTGGTTCTCATCTATAAAATGAAATGACTGTGGTTGATGAAAACATCTATCTCACAGGGGTAATGATCACACCTTCCTAATATGAATTACTGGCACTTTGATGTTTGTATGGTATCAGGAATATTTGAGTTGCCATTAGACGGTCCCAGGGACATTTTAGAGCCAAGGACCCCAAGAGAGTGTGGAAGCAGGTAACCAGCAGGCTGGAGGACCATGCTCTGGAGAATTCTAACAGGCCACCAGGAGGCGCTTACCAGTGAGGTTCAGAGGGACCCATGCCTTTGACTCAGGGTTCTGTCTCCTGTTTGGGCTTCCTCAGCTCATTTTACATTTCACCTTCTGTTGGGGAAGTTTCTTGGTTTGAGCGCTTACCTTTCAGTGTGTCTTAATTCTTCATGAATTACTTCTGCCCTTTCTGGCTTTAGATCTGATTCTGCCACCTCTGGGTAATGACCTTTAGACACTGCACCTGGGGGCTCTTGCCTTTATCAGCTCTGACTCAGGGTCCATGACGGCATTTTAGGCACATTTCTAATGGCTTGAACCATATATACATTTAACTGTATATGCATTGATATCGCTAAAGAGAAAAAGAATCTTCAAACTGGTACCGAGAGGATGATATCTGTCGTGCAAATTATCCCAGAGAAAGGTTCCATCTGGTAAGCCGTAAAAAATAACATGGCTGCCATTGGGCAGGTGGGAATTTAGATACTTCAGAGTCTGCATGACGTTGGAGTAGAATTTCTCGGGAGTGGTCATGGCTGGGACTGTGTCACGCTTCCTGTTGGTGGGATAAACAGAAAATATCTTGCTTAATTATAGGGATAGATGCATGCAAATTGTAAGCAAATACAAGATACATCTCTCTCTCACACACACACACACGCACACACATACCCACACAGACACACACAGTGTGGTGGTCATTGGGGCTATTTGCAAAATATTCCTGGATTTCCACCTTTCTGGCACATAGTCAGACTATATTTCCTGACTTCTTTGTGGTTGAGTGGAGCATGTGACTAGTTTTAACCAATGAATGGTGAGCTGAAGTGACATGTGTCATATTTGGTGATGTGACACCTTCTAGAATGTTCTTTTTCTTTGAATGGGTATAGGCAACATTCAAGATAGCTGCTTCAACAATCTGAGTCCCAGAACAGAGTCCCATGGTGATCTCTGATGGACAAGTAGTATGAGAGAGATGTAAACGTTTTGTGTTTATGCTGCTAAGACTTTAGGGACTGTCTGTTCCTGTGTTCCTGTGGCATCACCTCACTGGCCTGACTTACACAGTTTTTGAAATGAAAGGGGTCTGGTGTTGCTTATGATTTATTTGACACTCTGACATCTGTCACTTGGTCTTTAAAACTTTTCAAACGTATCACAGTTAGAGAACAGAATCTTACGGACAAAGTTGTATTACATGTCCACACTGTATCTTGATTTCATCCTTCTTTCTGCGCAGGATCTGGACTTGCATGCATTACCTGTTGGACTTCTATCCAGGCTATACCCTGCCACCCTTTCTAACAAACAATTCCAGCTTGCATTATCGCCTGTGTATAGCAGGGCTTGTGCTCTAGAGAGGGTATTTGAAAATGTAAGCTAATGTCAGATGAAGGCGAGATTCCTAAGTGTGCCAAAAGTGGCCAGTCTTCACCCTCAATCAGACGTTTATTGAATTTAAGCTGATTGACTTATTTTCATTTGGTTTGGGAAAGAAGTAAGGAATGTACGAAACACTGCAAAGCCATCATCTGAAGTTATGTTTAAATTGTGTTCACTGATTGATTTACAGTTGTGTTTCATTGGGCTCCCTGCCCACCAGCAGTGTTCACTGATTGATTTACAGTTGTGTTTCATTGGGCTCCCTGCCCACCAGCAGGGTGATGAGGTCCTTTGTACTCCAAACCTCAGCATAACATAATATATCCACGTAATGTACTTGCACGTGTACCCCCGAATCTAAAATGAAAGTTGAAATTATTTTAAAAAGCTATGTTTGAAAGGCAAGGGATCCTAAAATATTTTTGGCATTAATATATGTTTATTATTGTTCATTTTTTGCACAACTGACTTTTGCACACACCTTCAGGAACACATGAAATATGGATTAGGATCCTAACCTGCATTAACTTGGGAGTAGAATACAGAATTTTCTAGGGTTTTCATCTATTCTTTAGGCTCTAACTGCCTGTCTTTACCATAAGTGGAATGATGCTACAGTGTTACTTTCTATTTTATGTACTTAAGATTCCAGTTTCCCTAATGACCCTGCGCTGGGTTAAATAGTGTCCCTGAGAATGTGACATTACTTGAAAACAGGGTCTTTATGGCTGTCATTAGTTAAGATGAGGTCATATGGGATTAGTGTGGGCCTTCAATTCAATGACCGAATCCTTCTAAGAAGAGGAGAGGACACACAGACACATGCCACATGAAGACAGAGGCAGAATCTGAGGTTATGGCTGCCAGGAGCCAAAAAGTACTGAGGATCACTGGGGGCCACCAGAAGCAGAAAGAGAAAAGGGAGGATTTTTTCTCTAGAGCTTTCAGAGGGAGCATGACCCTGCGGACACCTTGATTTTGGACTTTTAGCATCCAGAACTGTGATGGAATACATGTCTGCGTTTTGAGTCATCCAGTTTTGGTACTTTGTTATGGCAGCTCCAGTGAACTTAATATAGACAGTGAACTAGACAAAATAAGTCCATCACTCAGAGGCTGGATCCAGGGCATAAGTGATCTGGGAAGAGGGGACAGAAAGGGGTCCTCAGGGATCCACACTTCTCACTTTGAAGGGAGCTTATAAATGAATATTGGCACTGCCTTTTGGAGGGCAGTTTTTAAAGATGTATCCAAATTTAAAGTTGGCTTAACTTTGACCTTGAAATTTCACTTTCAAGAAGTTATCCTACAGTAACATTTCCACAAATATGCAAAAATGTACGTACGAGTATTGCAATATTACTTGGTACAGTGCACAACTGGAAAAGATAAAAGCCTAAATACATAAATTCTGGTACAATCGTACAATAGAACCCTATACAACCATTACAAAGAATAAAATAACCAGATACCATTGGTTGAGCAATGGTGAACTGGGAATGGGGAACTGGGAATGCCACTGAATTATTTGCTTCAGAATGGTTAGTCTTACATTATGTGAATTTCACCTGAATAAAGCAAATGAAGGAATTTGTATGTATTAATATAGAAAGATGGCTAAAAATGACCACTGACTACAACAGTGCTTTTGGAGCTGTGGGGGTAGCCAGTAGGGTGGCAGCTGTGGTTGGTGTATGAGCTTCTACACTATGTGATGGATGGCTGGAGTCTCCTGAGCGGGGAGGGAAGAAGATGTCTAATTTTACAAAACCTCAGGATGTGGAACTGCATCCATTGTCATGAAACACTTATACTATTTTAAAAATAAAAATCTTTCTAACCTGATAAAAAGCAGCTACAAAGATTTGCGACTAGGCGGCCTACCGACCAGGGGAGAGAGGTGGGGAGGGGCTTTGACTTAATTCCCACATGCACAGAAGCAGCACAGGAGAATCTGCCCAAAGTACCCAGGTTCTACATTCACTGTGTGTCCGAAGTGTGACAGCAAGGGTGAAATGAAAGGCAACTTGCGTGTCCACATCCTTTTTGCTGTCATTGGTAAAGCTAGCACACACTGCCTGTTAACTTTTGCCTTGCCACACCTTTTTTTTTTCTTCATGCTAATACAACAGCACTTTGGCACAAAGCAATTATGCTGAGCTAATGTTCTCCAACCACATAAAGGCAAGATGAGTTAAGATGGACAAAGTCTCCCCAAATCCCCATTGAATAATTATTTTTTTGGTTAGAGACACAACCCTGATGCTAAATGAAGAATTTGAGCTAATTTGTGCTTATGAAAGGGCACCCTCAAATTAGGCAAGTATAATCAACATGGTTAATTGCTAAGTGAAATCAAAATGGAAGCCCTGGTGCTGTTAATGGAACATTTGCCAGTTATTTTTGTTCCATCTGGCACAACTATGTAACTTACTTGTTTTTTTTTTTTTGAGACGGAGTTTCGCTCTTGTTACCCAGGCTGGAGTGCAATGGCGCCATCTCGGCTCACTGCAACCTCCGCCTCCTGGGTTCAGGCAATTCTCCTGCCTCAGCCTCCTGAGTAGCTGGGATTACAGGCACGCGCCACCATGCCCAGCTAATTTTTGTATTTTTAGTAGAGACGGGGTTTCACCGTGTTGACCAGGATGGTCTCGATCTCTTGACCTCGTGATCCACCCGCCTCGGCTTCCCAAAGTGCTGGGACTACAGGCGTGAGCCACCGCGCCCGGCCGTAACTGACTTTTAATTTGCAGAGCAACACTAACCAACTCTTAGCTCAGGTAAGGGCAAGGGAGTCTATGTGACTCATGGGGGATCACCCCTTCCAGATGCCATAGAAGATGCCTTCTGACTTCTGTCCCTGAAAAGTTTTCAATGCCATTTTGATCTGTGTGCTCTTTCTCCTCTGGTGATGCTTGGGGAGACTTAGTGCTAGTGTTCTGGAGATCAGAGAACCCTAGAGATTGGATGCCATCTCCTGGGTTCTCTGGTGTCTGCCAAAGGACAAATGGGCTGAGCTGAAAGTGTCTAACCCTTTTCAACTCAGGTGTCCCAGTCACCTGCCACCCTCAGTTTGCCTGCCCACCCCAGCGCCCTGGCACCCCTTCTCACAGGGAGCTCACTCCAGACACTCAGATGGATAGGTGAGAGATCAGGAGTGCTCAACTAACAGAGAAGATGTGACAACCGGCCTGGGACACAGTGGCCACACTAGGGAAAATAATGAGAGAGAAATTGGTGCTCACTGACCTGCTCTCACATGTCGGGAACGCATGACTGGCTCAGAACAGATGAAGAGCCTCACCCCTGAGGGAGGCTCTAAAGCCTGTCCTGCCCTAATGAATTGTGTCTGATCAGGCAAAATAAGCCTGATCATTTCATTACCCTGGTAGGTAAGCCAGCCAGATTTTACCTGGCTAGTGCCAGAGAGAGGTGTCCCTTCTCAAGGAAGAAACTGATCAGCTTGTGCAAAAAATCGGCTTCCTAGAACCATAGCTAAAGCCCATTGGATGTCCTGAGATCACCGTAGTGATCACGTGCTCAGACCTCACGCATAGCTAGATTTGTGTTTTCAAAACACCCAGGTAAGAGGGTTAGCCCTTTTTTTCATGCCGGCCAGTTGCAGTCACATCATTGGGCTCCCATCCAATCCTCTTGAAGAGATTTTTTTTTTTTTTAAACAGACACAGGGTCTTGCTCTATCACCCAGGCTGAAGGGCTGTGGTATGATCATAGCTCACTGCAGGGTTGAACTCCTGGGCTCAAGCTATCCTCCCACCTTAGCCTTCTGAGTAGCTGGGGAGAAGAGGCATCTTAATACACACCGGAAATGGGATGAGGACTTCCACATTACCCCATGCATAGAGATACATTAAACATCCCTTAAATGTGGGTGTGGCCTGGAACATGCTGGTTGGTTGGAACTTTCTTATCATTCCCTTTGCTACCCATGTCTCTGACTGAGGAGGCTGGGAGAGAGAATTCCTCTGAGCAGCAGGAGCTCTGTCCATTCCCTTCCCTACTGGCTTTTCTATCATCTGAATAAATAGCATCAATTGTTTCTCACTAGTCTAGGCTCCTTGGGGCCTGCGACCTGTCAGTGACTTGGCTGGCTTCCTCTTAATGCAGTGCTGCTGCCCAGGGTGTAACCTGAAGCACTGGCATTGAAGAAAAACAATGGCTGGGGCCAGAGGGGCACAGAAAACCTATGTGGGTGGTCCTGGCTCTCTCCATAAGATTAAAATGTATAATATATACTTTCTGTGTATTCTCCTAAGAATATGCTGCTTCTATGAATGCCATCTGTCCTGTGATTGCCCACGGTAACAAATGAAACCATATCCATTTATGGGGCTAGTGCTCGATGCTCGGATGATCCTATGGCATTTCCAGCAATTACCGTGTTCATTTCAGGGATGCCATGCTGGGATGTTGGGGAAGGGTTGTCGCTGGCCTTTATGATTTCATTGTCCTGAGGCCATTCTCATTTCCCACTGCTGCCTCTGCCACCCCAAGGTTCTGCTGCTGTAGCTCCCCCACATTTGCCCTGTTTTCAGGAATGATTTTCCCTCCGTATCACTCATATTACATAGCTCTCGAGGGCAGTGATCGGAGAGGCATAAAGGAAGCTGAGTAAGCCTAAATCAAATTGAGCAGGGTTACAGTGAGAAAGTCAGGTTCTCCACGTGACCTTTCTTTGTGACTTTCTGATGCTAAAAGCTATCTTCCTACCGCGACCCTCATTCATTTAACAAGTATTTGTTGAGTAACTGCATGAGTTTAGAGAATTGAGAAAGAAACACAGAAATGCATTACATCAGTAGGAACTAGCATCGTCACAGAAAAAGAAAAGAAAAAAGTCAAGCAAATATCTGAAAACTTGTTCCAGGACAGACTTATTATGTAACTCCTGCTGCTTGAGCTTTTTATAAAATCCCTTTGCTCATTTTGGGAAATCTACTCCACCTTGACATTCTGGCAGATGGGGAGGTGTAGTTGCCATCTGTCTTTATTTTTTTAACCCCTTCACAGGACATCACAAAGTGGGCACCACAGGGACACCCCATACTGCCAACTCTGTTCTTTCACCCAAATGCTTACTGCTTCTCTGCCCAGATCCCTGGCAGGGGAGAGGCTGGCACAGGTCTCTGGCTGATGTCTGCCTGCCCTTTAGCTCTTCGGGAAAGGAAAAGTAGGACTGGGCTGGAGGGGTCTGGGTAGGCAGGTTGTGCTGGAAAAGTATAATTTCAGGGATTTTGGCTTTTGGAGCCAGAGTCTCTTTCTGCACATGTTCTTTATTCAGTATAGTCAGGTACAGTCAGTTTGCTCTCTCCCTCTTTGGAAGGACATGCTCTGGGGGTTGGGGGAGCACTGGCTGGTCTGACTGTAGCTTTATTCTGTTTCATGATGGTGGCTAGGGGCTGAAGCATGGTGTTCTCCTTCCATTAGGTTCTTGATGTCGGGGGCTGTGGCTTCTTTGCCATTGTATCCTAGAGCCTGGCACAGTGCTTGGCACATCGTGGGTGTTCACTGTATACTTAAAGAAGTGAACGAGTCAAAGAAAGGAAATAAGACAGTGTGGACTCTAGAAAGGGGATGGAATTTGGTAGAGAACCTGGTTTGGCTCCTAGCTTTGACGCTGGATACCAGAACAGGCAAGTTCCTTATCCTTGCCAAATCAGTTCCTCATCTGCTAAATGGGACAATCATCCTTGCCTCTTCGAGCTGCTGGGAGGATGGAATGATAGAGACTGATGTACCTCTTGGCTCACGGCAGTCACGGTGTTTGCTGTTTATTAGAAAGTCCCAGGTGGCTCTTCACAGACCTTGGTGCCCAGCATGTAGCCTTGGCAACTTGGGGTTCTGAGGACATCAGTAAACCAGCCTAAGGGCACCAAGGTGACATCTGGCACATCAGAGTCTCTGGATCATTGTGTGGTATGTCGTGCCCTGAACACACCTCACTGATTTTGTCTGCATCTCCTTTGCCATCTGAATTTTGTGTGTGGGCAACCACACCTTAATACTATTGAGTTTTCTTTTCAGCGCAGGCTTGGAAGGCACGGCCAGCGAAATACAGGAAAGCAAATTCGGGGAGTGAGCAGGATGGCCCACTTCTAGCACAGCTGGGGTGGAGACCAGCTCTGCCATTAATCAACCTGCTGCCTTGGGCAAGTCACGAACCTCTCTTGGCCTTACTTTTCTGTTTCCTAAAATAGTGAGTGGGTGGCTATTGCTGCTGGGGAGTTGCTCTAAATTCTATCTTACCAATTTTTTTTTTCTTTTTTGGCCATAATCACAGGACAGATGGCATTCATACATGTATCATGTTCTTAGGGGTGTACACAGATTTTGAGAAAACTCCCCAAATGTTGTACAGGAACTAAGGAATTCACCATTTTGAAGTCACTGCTGATAACAGCAGTTTAGCAAAATTACCTTCTTGCTAGGTGCCATGGGCATAGATAGGATTGGCCATGAGTTATTCACAGTTTCTTTGCAAATGCTGTAGGTCTATGCATCTATGCTGTCTCTTCCACGTGAGGAAGTAAAGTAAGAGTGAGATCGATATTCTTATGGGGTAGCAGTGCTTCTGCCTTATTTTACTAAACAAATCACAATTCCCAAACTTGGATTCTCAGTCCGTAGTGGCACATTTCTTGTGATACAACTGATGAGGACATACATTTGTTGTTACATCAGAGTTGATAATTAATGGAGCAGACATTTTCAAAAGGGGTTTTCAGCTTCATAGATTGGTTCTGTTGATTTCATATATGTCTAGGACTTGCTTTTTTTTTTTTTTTTGAGACAGAGTCTTGCTCTGTCATTCAGGCTGGTGTGCAATGGCATGATCTCAGCTCATGGCAACTTCCACCTCCCAGGTTCAAATGATACTGTTGCCACAGCCTCTCATGTAGCTAGGATTACAGGCACATGCCACCACATCCAGCTAATGTTGTATTGTTAGTAGACATGGGGTTTCACCATGTTGGCCAGGCTGGTCTCAAACTCCTGACCTCAGGTGATCTGCCCGCCTTGGCCTCCCAAAGTGCTGGGGTTACAGGCATGAGCCACGGCACTCGGCTGTGCTTCTAAGATAGAGAGATTCAATTGAAGAGCACACTGCTATAATGGAGTGGAGTTGGGGAGGAATGGTGTGGGGAAGAGCCCAGAGCCAAAGAATCTTGAAAATACTCTTTTGCAATAACTCACCCATTGCAGACATCATTTCCAATCATGGCATATATAACGATGGCGGGATGGTCCAACATCTTGTTTCTAGACAGGCTGAGAAGGCATACATGGAATCTGAATGTCAGAGATGTGGAAACCGAGCTTTGTAGCCAGTGACACAGGCAGGGCCTTTGAAAACAATCTTGACATGACCACCCTGTTGGCAAACCTTTTGCTATTTTTCTTTCATTTTAGTACAGCCAACCACCGTTTTCATTTCCCATTTATTCTCCGTAATTATTATCCCACTTGCCTATTAGAGAAAGGCCACGTAAATGCACAGCATTGAAAAGAGTGGGTTGAAGTCCTGGGTAAATAGACACAAGACTGTCTTCTTGGCATCTTTCACAGTGATTGCATCAGTAAGCACAGGTGGCTACTGGGTTACTTATGTCCACGTTCTTAGAAAATCCTGGAAGCTGTGGCCCCATAGTCAACTTTGAAAAGGCAAGGGCTTCTTGAGGGTTCCGGTCAGGACACCTCAAGCCTTCCTTCTGAACTTTAAGCCCCAAATGAGCACAAAAAAGTCTTCTCATTCATAAAGCAGGAATATGACATCATCCTTTTGTGTTTTCAGTCACTTCTGTCAGACCTAAGTTTTACCCACTTTGTATGCATCTTTGTCACCCTTCTTTGAGGACATATGCAAATTAATCTCTTTCTATGCTCACTGGCCCAAGGAGTGCTATCCTAGAGTTTGGAGAGTGACTAACAAGCTATTTATGCTCAGTAAAAATGATTATGGGATAATAACAGAGTTTTCATTCCTTATTCAAAATGAGAAACCAAATTAAAAACAACTTCTTATCTTCCACTTACCTTTCTATAAATGTCTTCAGGTTTCGGGAAGATGCACCTGAATAATTAAAATTAAGAAAACAATTAAAGTTAGTGAGTTCAATTCCACACCATCAGTATGGGAGTCTGATTGACTGAACTCATGAAAGCAGCATCACTGTTTGGTCAGAGGTTGTTCCGACCAACACACCGGTGGAAATAATCTCCTTCCGATCAGTTTCTGTAGTGTTTAATCCTGGAACTCTCCTTAAGGGCTTTTCCATTTATTTAGCAGTATATTAACATAACCAAAATTTCTTTGGAATTAGGGGTCTTCAGACATTTCCTAAGCAGGAATGAGTAAAGCTTCTAGTAGATGTAAGAAAAAAGTACACATCTACCACCAAAGAGACAAACTTCTGAAAATGTTAAGGAACGAGTTGAAGAATTAGACGAATATGAAAAGAATGTTTTAAGCATCACCCACCTCCTTGGAGAGCCCCACTTAATCTCCTTCTATTTTTCCTGCACACTGCCGGAGCTCCTGCAGGCTGTCTGACCAGCACAAGGTTCAGATTGTACAGTTGATATATTTCAACTCTTACAATGATATGAACGACCATCCTGCCCCAATCCCTGTCACCACCTGTAACGTATCTCTTATATGAAAATCCAGGCCGGGTGTGGTGGCTCACGTCTGTAATCCCAGCACTTTGGGAGGCTGAGGTACGTGGATCACTTGAGGTCAGGAGTTTGAAACCAGCCTAGCCAACATGGGGAAATCGCATCTCTACTAAAAATACAAAAAAAATTAGCTAGGCATGGTGGCACATGCCTGTAATCCCAGCTACTTGGGAGGCTAAGGCAGGATAAAAGCTTAAACCCAGGAGGCAGAGGTTGCAGTGAGCTGAGATCATGCCACTACGCTCCAGCCTGGGTGACAGAGCAAGACTTCATCTCAAAAAAAAAAAAAAAAAAATCCTGTTAGTTGAAAATTTATTTTATTCTAGGTGCTGTTAAACATTTATAGCTCATTTACGCTGTAGTGAATTGTGTGAGGTAGGTACCGTCATATTCCCACTTTTAAATACGGAAGCTGAAGCCCACTTAAGTGGCTTTCCCAAAGCCACACAGGTACTCATTTTAAGAACTGCAGTTCAAACCAGTCCCTTCCAACTGCCATGCTGAGCTCTGGCTTCCTAATGTTCCTCTAGGCTGCAGCTGAGAAAGAGTGAACCCAAACCAGCTGACTTTTTGTCCCCAAGAGGCAGATCTGCTAGAAATAAGCAAGTAATTGTCAGGTGGGTGGTGCAACTCGGTGGACGAGTGGAGAAACACCGTGTGGTTGTCCCTTTCCTCAGGAGGATTTTCCTATAACTTCCAACCTTGGAAGCTTGGGGACAGGTGCATTTCCCGCAGACCCAGGCATGTTCTTCCAGTTTCACACAAGAAAAGGGCAGTGCACAGCCATGGAGTCTGTGCTGGCCTGTGTGTCACTGAAGCTGTGTAGCTATGCGTTGATTGCCTCTTTGTCACATACAGCTAGTTGCAAGCTGTACAAGCAGCACCGATGTTCTCTTGGTTGATTCAGGAATGTTAGCACATTAAATGGATATTGCTTTATGTCCATTTTATTACGGTAAAATATACATCTCATTTCATCTTTTAATCCCTTTTGAGTGTACAATTGTGCAGCCATCAGCACCACCATCTCTAGAACTTTTCCATCATTCCAAACCAAAACTCGAAATGCATTAAAGGATAACTTTCCATTAACTCCTCCCTCCAGCCCCTGATAATCACCCTTCTACTTTCTGCCTCTACGCATCTAACTATTCTAGGCACCGCATGTGGATGGCTCATGCCACACTCGTCCTTTTGAGTCTGGTTTATTCTACTCAGCATAATGTCCTCAAGCTTCATCCGCATCACATTTTGTTTATCCATTCATTCATTGATGGCCATTTGGGTTGTTTCCACCTTTCGGTTGTGAATAATGCTGCTATGAACAGTCCCTGCTTTCAAGTGTTTTCGGCATTTGGTATACCTAACTGAAAGTACTGGCTGTATGGTAATACTCTGTTGAACTTTTTTTAGAATTGGCTATACCGTCTTCTTTCTTTTTTGTAGTGAGGCAAGGAATCATTATTATTGTTTTAATTTCAACTTTTATTTTTGATTCGGGGGTACATGTGCAGGTTTGTTACTTGGGCATATGTGTGATGCAGGTTTGGGGGACAATTGATCCCATTGCCCAGTTACTAAGCACAGCAGACCCAATAGGTAATTTTCTTTCTTAAGTTCTGGGGCACATGTGCAGGATGTGCAGGTTTGTTACACAGATAAATGTGTGCCATGGTGCTTTGCTGCACCTCTCACCCCATCACCTAGGTATTAAGCCCCGTATGCATTAGCTATTTTTCCTGATGCTCTTCCCACCCCAGCACTCCCCTGACAGGCCCCAGCATGTGTTGTTCCCCTTCCTGCGTCCACGTGGTCTCATTGCTCAGCTACCACTTGTAAGTGAGAACATGTGGTGTTCCGTTTTTCGTTCCTGTGTTAGTTTCCTTAGGCAGCTCCATCCGTGTCACTGCAAAGAACATGATCTCATTCCTTTTTATGACTGCAAAGTATTCCGTGGTGTAGATGTATCACATTTTCTTTATCCAGTCTATCACTGATGGGTATTTGGGCTGATTTCATGTCTTTGCTATCGTGAATAGTGCTGCAATGAACATACACGTGCATGTATCTTTATAACGGAATGATTTATATTCCTTTGGGTGTATAACCAGTAATGGGATTTCCGGTTCTAAATCTTTGAGGAATTGCCACACTGTCTTCCACAATGGTTGAAGTAGTTTACGTCTCACCAACAGTGTCAAAGCATTCCTATTTCTCTGCAACCTTGCCAGCATCTGTTTCTTGACTTTTTAATAATCACCATTCTCACTGTCATTTTCAATCCTTGCCCCACTGCTTCCCTCCTCACATCTAGTACTCTTGTGTCTATCCTTGTCATCTCTATGTCCATGAGTATCCATTGTTTAGCTCCTACTTGTAAGTGAGAACACGTGGTACTTGGTTTTCTGTTTCTGCATTAATTTGCTTAGGACAATGGCCTCTAGCTGCCTCCATGTTGCTGGCAAAGATTATTTAGTGCTTTTTATGGCTGCATAGTATTCTATGGTGTATATGTACCATATTTTCTTTATTCATTCCACTGTATGGGCACCTAGGCTGATTCCATGTCTTTGCTATTGTGAATAACATTGTGATGGACATATGAGTGCATATGTCCTTTTGGTAGAATAATTTATTTTCTTTTGGCTATATACCCAGTAATGGGATTGCTGGTTCAAATGGTAGTTCTCAAAGTTCTTGAGAAATCTCCAAACTGCTTTCTACAGTGGCTGAACTAATTTACCTTCCTACCAGCAACGCATAAGGCTCTTCTCTGCAGCCTTGCCAGCATCTGTTGTTTTCTGACTTTTTAATAATAGTTATTCTGACTGGTGTGAGATGGTATTTTACTGTGGTTTTGATTTGCACTTCTCTGATGATTAATGACGTTGAGTCTTTTTTCATCTCCTTGTTGGCTGCTTATATGTCTTCTTTTAAGAAGTGTCTGTTCATGTCTTTTCCTCGTTTTTAAAATGGGGTTATTTTGTTTTTGCTTGTTCAATTGATTAAATTCCTTTTAGATTCTGGATATTAGACCTTGGTTGGATGCATCATTTGTGAATATTTTCTCCCATTCTGTAGGTTGTCTGTTTACTCTGTTGATGGTTTATTTTGCTCTCCAGAACCTCTTTAGTTTAATTAGGTCCCACTTGTTTTTGTTTTTGTTGCACTTGCTTTTGAAGACTTAGTCATAATTTTTTTCCCCCCAAGGCCATTGTCTAGAATGATGCTTCCTGGGTTTCCTTCTAGGATTCTTATAGTTGAGGTCTTACATTTAAATCTTTAATCCATTTGAGTTAATTTTTGTAGGTGAAAGATATTGTATGGTGAAAGATAGTGTTCTAATTTTATTCTTCTGCCTATGGCTTGTCTGCTATCCCAGCATCATGTATTGAATAGGGATTCCTTTCCCCATTGCCTATTTCTGTTGACTTTGTTGATGATCAGATGGCTGTAGGTGTGCCTTCTTATTTCTGAGCTCTCTATTCTGTTCCTTTGGTCTATGTGTCTGTTTTTATTCCAGTACTATGCTGTTTTGGTCATTATAGCCTTATAGTATAGTTTGAAGTTGGGTAATGTGATGCCTCTAGCTTTATTCTTTTTGCTTAGAATCACTTTGGCTATTCAGGCTTCTTTTTTTGCTCCATATGAATTTTAGGACAGTTTTTTTTCTAGTTCTGTGAAAAATGATATTGGTAGCTTGATAGGGATAGCATTGAATCTATATATAGATTGCTTTGGGCAGTATGGCCACTTTAACAATATTGATTCTTCCAATTTATGAATACAGAATATTTTTCCATTTGTGTGTGTGTGTGTGTGTGTGTATCATTCATGGTTTCTTTTGGCAACGTTTTTTAGTTCTCCTTGTAGAGATCATTTACCTCCTTGGCTAGATGCATTTCTAGGTATTTTATTTTCTTGGGATATTAGAAATGGGATTATGTTCCTGACTGGCTCTCAGCTTGAACATTATGGATGTATAGACATTCTACTGATTTCTGTACATCGACTTTGTATCCTGAAACTTTGCTAAAGTTGTTTATCAGTTCCAGTTCCAGGAGCCTTTTGGTTTAGTCTTTAGGTTTTTTTTTTTTTTTTTATGGAGTCTCACTCTGTTGCTCAGGCTGGAGTGCAGTAGTGTGATCTCAACTCACCACAACCTCTGCCTCCTGGGTTCAAACGATTCCTGTGTCAGCCTCCCGAGTATCTGGGACTACAGGCGTGCACCACCAGGTCTGGCTAATTTTTGTATTTTTAGTAGAGATGGGTTTCACTACATTGGCCAGACTGGTCTTGAACTCCTAACCTCAAGTGATCCACCTGCCTTGGCCTCCCAAAGTGCTGGGATTACAGGCATGAGCCACCACACCCAGAAAACAATTTTGAAAGGTT